ACTGGAAAAACCCTTAACTTGCTCTATTAACAACACATCAGAGCAGCAAAATGATATATACCCCAGACATGGAACCATTTTTCACAGCAACATATGCATGCTATATCTGGTTTGGTATTTTCTCTTTACAACATGTATTTGCATGTATTGCATTTGGCATAGTATATTTCAAGTTTGGTCATTGTCTTGCTGAAATACCACATCCTCCACAGTTTTGCCCCATTCCTCTATGCTATTCTGAAGTTCATCCTCCAGAACAGAAACATAAAGGTCAGCATCCATCTTGCCATCGATTTTGCAGGCATATCCAATTTCTTCCCAGTCCATACACCCCCACATCATGAGGCTTCCTCCCCCAAACTTGAGTGTCCCTTCTACCAGCCTATCACTGAGTCTCTCCCCTGGCTTCTTCCATGCCCATTTCCTCCCATCTGACCCTAACCTGTTGATTTTGGTTTCATCTGACCATATAACCCTCTTCCAGTTCTCCACAGTCCAGTGCTGATGGCTAACAGCAAAGTCCAGTCTTTCTCTCTTATGATGCTTAGAGAGAAGGGGACGTTTATGCTTGACCACAGCCGTCAGACCAGTGCTTTTGAGCTTTCTACGCATAGTCTCCACATGAAAGGGCTGGTTGACAACATCTTGGAGAAGTTTGGTCACTTTGACAGCAGTATCTGCCTGTCCACTGGTAAGAAGGCGAGTAGCATGGTGAATGATTCCAGGATTAAGCTTTGTAGGATGACCTCCACCAGATGTAGGCATGTTAGAATGATGCTCAGAGCAAATTCTGAACACAGTGGAGTAATGGACTGCAGTCAGATGAGCAATCTATCTGACAAAATGACCTTGATCAAGCAGGGAGAGAATGTGGGCAGTCTGAGTGGCAGAAACCTTTTTCATGATGGCTGTGTTGAATTTGAACAGTCTGTTGAGTGTTGATCAACTCATGTTGAAGTTCAACAAAGATCACATGATCCAAACTTTAAACCTTAAAGCCAACAAACTTCTGCAAGGGGGTATTTTTGTCTTCAGAAGTGTTAGCCACAAAACTGTTGCAATGCATCTTTTGTAAAGAATATTTTGTATCTCACTAACCAGTAGGCCAATTTACTTTATCCAAATGCCATTTGAAAGATTATATTATAGGCTTTCTAATAATATTTATGTTCGCATATTTAGCTATTTTTGTTCCTGAGATATAAGCCAAACAATGCAACTGTTACAAACATTGCAACAGTTTTGTGGCTCACTGTAGTACAAGGGCAATGTAGAATTTTGCATGCTTTGAGCAGAATCAGCCAAGGCTCTGGCAGACTGGATCTTCAAAGATATACTTTGCCAATGGGGCACACTCTCAGAGCTCATAACAGATAATGGCGTGCCCTTCATCAAAGCCACAGCATATCTGGCCAAGAAGTACCATGTTCAGCATATTCAAATCAGCGGTAAAAATTATGAGCCAATGAGATCGTCGAAAGGTTCCATTTTGATGTGCAGCAAGGCTTGTTTAAAGCTGCCAATGGCAAAGAACATGGCTGGAGCCAGGTAGTGCACTCCATGTTCTGGTCAGAAAGAATCACCACAAGGCATCACATGGGGTGCTCGCATTACTTTGCAGTCACAGGAATGCAGCCAATATTACCAATGGACATAGTCAAAGCTACATACCTGCTGCCACTGCCAACTTCGATGATATCTACCACTGAGCTAATCACGTGATGAGCTGAGGCCTTACAGAAGCGACGTGAGCAGATGGAAAAGATTTATAATGCCATCTTCAGAGCTAGAAGGGAAGCAACAAAGAAGTTCAAGGAGAACCATGTGACAAAGATACGCGATTTTAACTTAAGCCATGGAGACTTAGTACTGGTCCGACACACGAAGATTGAGAAATCACTCAATTGCAAGATGCGACCTAGAGACATTGAACCCTATGTGTTAATTCTACGAAACTGAGGCAGAGCCTATGTGCTGGCAGAACTAGATGGGGCAGTCTTGGACAGGCCAGTGGCAGCCTTCCGAGTCATACCATTCATTTTGCCCAAGTGGGTATTGGTACCAGAAGAGGTATTGGACGTCTCCAAGAAGCATCTAAATGAGATGGGGGAAGCAGAAGACACTGGAGAATTGGAGAAAGAAGAAGAACCTGGAGAAGGAGAGAACAGGGGCTTTGCAGAAGAAGACTCAGATAAAGAAGGAGACTAATTGGCCAAGCCTTTGGGGTTTGGGCAATTGTGTATATGGATTCAAGGCATTCACAACTCATTTCTTAGGGGATTCACAGGCACACTTAATGCAGGAAAGTGAGTATATTTGAATGGCAAACTACATTGTACAGCATATGACAGGCTAATAACCATGGCCACCAGGCACAGCAGGATGAGCTCTCCATGCACAATCACTCAGGCTTTTTGTGAAAGAGGCCAGCAATGGCCTTCATCAGCTCCTCCTGTTCGACCATTATGCCAGCAAACTTGACAAAGGTGGATGAGGAAGAGGCAGCGGTTGACCACATAGCTGGTGAAAAATGAGTTGGGTATGGTGCCAGAGGAACGAAGATGAACAGAACCTCACCAGAGGGCATAGCAGTGGCACATTTGGCAGGAGTGGTGATATGCTCAACTGCATCCTGGCCATGAGCAGCACTCCTAACCAACCCCTACTGGTGGAAGGCAAACTGAGGCTTGTCCATCTGCAGTTCCTTTGAGCTATGATCACAGGAAACTTCAAATGATAATGCAGCGATGGGCAGCCATGAGTCATTCGACTGTGTGAGCTTGAAACAGGTCAGTTCGCAAAATTGTGATCAGTGAGTGTCAGACTTGACTGTATGGATGCCTCTGACTGGAAAACAGTCAAAGGCCTGTGCTGTGGAGGTGTGTGCATGTGTAATGTGATCAGCGACTCCTGTGCTCGTGAACTGTGGTGGCTGAAGGCCTGGGCTGGGGCATGAGGGATTGCTATATCTGGAAAGTGCTCATCAAGTGCCCATGACAAAGCCTCAATAGCCTCCAAAACTGGAACGAGTGCCGACGACAAAGCTCTGAGCACTTCTGACTGGAACGAGCACCGACAATGAACTCCTGGGTGTCTCTGACTGGATCAAGTGCTGACGATGAACTCCTGGGTGCTAGCAAGGCTACGGGGTCCAATGGAGACAGAATCCTGGTTTGAGACTCATGACTGGTGGCGTGCGAGTGAAATGTGATGATGTGAGATACGAGAACACGATAACATAACTTATCTGGCTGAAACCCGAGTAGAGCTAGAGGCCACTGCTGAAAGTGCTGCCTCTCTTGGTGTCGAGAATCCCAGAGATGTAGAACATGATCGCAATAGACATAGACTTAGTCGAGCATGATGCCCTAGTGTAGACGAGATGAGAACTTAACTCTGCTGGGTGGTGAAAACTCTGTTATAGGTTTTAGGTACATGGTAGATTATATAGTGAGTTAGAAATGAGCCAGCTAGGTTGCTGAAACATGTTTCCAATCATAGAAGATGTTTCTGATCCAGTGAACCATGTCATATCATTCGCTCCTGCCCCCTCTCCATACTTTTGCAGTCAGGAAAGGGGAAGTCCAGCCCTGCCGGGGTCCCTTGGTCCGCTACCCTGTCTTCCATTTGGCAAGCATACTTGCTTATTTCTGAGTTGATTAACTGGTTGTATTCTGCTCTCACACTGCATCTCATAATCGGCTAGGCTTCTCAGTGGCCTGCTCATCATTTCTGCACCTCATGTTCACCTTCTGACCTCTTCACTTGGTTCTGCATTCCCAGGCAGTTGGCAAAGCCTTCCTTTGCCCATTCTGGACTGCTCCAGCTCTTGCTTGAATGCTCTCAGATTGCGGTAATTTGCTATCTAATTGTGCGATAGGCGGACACATTGTCTGGCATTTCACAATCACAGAATATCTCGGTGTGTATCAGTGGAACAAGAGGAGGAAGGCTTGATATCCAGAGGCTTGGGCTTGACCTCTTCTTTGACCTCCTTCTTGACAGACATGTCAGATGAGGATGCCTTGGGCCAAGCATTATACAAAGCATGATGAGAATGACAAGCTGGAGGAGCATTGAGCTCACTCATCATAGAGCCAGAATGCTTAACACCACGACCCACCTTCATGGTCAGGGGGCTTAATCTCCTCCACCTCCAGGAGCATGAAGGAAACACTGGCAGAAGCAGGAGGGGCTGTGACTGTAGAAGCAGCAGTCAATTTCATAAGGACCATCAGTAATGAAGACAGAAGATACTGGCGACCGTGTAATGCATCAAGTACTGGCACTTTGCCATGCATCAGAAGAACATGATGAGGGATGTGTCGACCCTCATAAAGGGACTTCTGCTCTTTCATAGTGCTCTTAACTCTCACACTGTGCTTGTTAAGAGTGCAAATCTGCTCATCATAGTCTTTGAAGGCTGTGCAGCTTTCATATAGCTTCTCTGGAGAAGGCTCATCTGGCATCAGCCAGCCACGCAGCTTGTAGAGCTCAGAAGAGGCACCCATCCTTTCAAGTTCTGCAGGTTGGGGATGTCCTTTCAAGTCCACCAGCGACAGATGGGCTCAAGCTCCATCATATATCAGCTTTTTAACATAGCTCCACTAAAGCAATGAAGACACTGAAGAATCATTAGCAACAGCCATGCATGAGAAAGAAAGGAACATACCAAGCAGCAGCCCTGGAGCACATGTCACCTTAGAATGAAGTCCGGGGACAAGGAATGGTCATGATAAGAGGGGCAGCTTTGCAAGGCCTGACCATCAGCAATATAGATGCCATTCTTAAGATGGATGATGCCATGAGAATCGATGAAGTCCACCATGACATTGCAGAGGTGAGCATCAGCAGGGGTCTGAAAAGACAATGCCTTAGAAGCTGGAGGTGTTGGACAAGGCAAGTGTTAGTAGGGATGATGAAGAAAAGAGATCTCAATGGGCACACCAATTTCATCCTTCATCTCTGATGGAGGATCCACCTCATCTTCACCATTCAGCTTATCCATCATCTGGGGGCTCATCAGCATCAACCATCTCATTGTTCTCAGGGACAGACTCCGAAGATGTAGGGAGACCATCAACAATCTCTTTGACAATAGCCTCTTTAAACGGTGTTGGCGAATGATGGACCAGATGGTGTGCTCGACATTGAGGACTTTGTGGAGCCTCCTCGGGCTCAGAATTGACCTAGCAAAGTGTCAGCATGAAGGAGAAGTACAGGCACAGACAACTACTCACTGATGCAAGCTCCTGCATCAGTGCCTTGCAGTGGCTCTTGGACAACAGTTCCATACCCCATTTAAGCCACCCAGGAGAGCAAATGCAGTCTAAAAAAATCTGGACAACTTTCAAGAAAGGTGTCAGATATTCGTCGCCTCCAGGGGTTTTGCACAGTGCATGCTGCAAGGCACTCATTAGCAGCACCAGTCATAAGAAGAAAGTAGGGATGAACCATGAAAGCCAGCAAGTTCTGGCCTACTGCCTCACACTCCTCAACACTGGCAGACCAATTACGGTGAACATCTTGAATACAGTCAAACAAGTGATGGGTCAGGGTCTCTAGAAGGGTAATTGGAGGTACAGAAACCAAATCGAGAGGTCCAGCAGGGGAAGGATCTGAAGCAACTGTCATCAAGGAGTCAGAATCTGGCACGTCAACTGAGGCAGGAGTATTGACAGCAGCAGGCAACAGAGCAGCAGCTAGAGATTCAGGAAGAATGGCACCAGTGAAAGGAGGCAGCACCACATCAGATTCTGGATCATGCATAATGAGCGGAGCAGTCTCATATTCCATGGTAGTCAAGGGCACATTAAGCAAATCAGGAGGAAGAACAGCAATAGACGGAGGAGGACTCAGAGGAGGAGTAGCCATGGTGGGTGAAGAATGAACAAGGCACTAAGCCAGGACACAAAAAGTGCACTCCTTTATGACAATCAAATGGCAGAGTTTGAAATGGCCATAGAAGCATGCAAAGAATGACTCATTCAGAAAGGTTGAACATGGCAGAGCCTAGCCGCTTGGGCAAGGAATGGTCAAAGCACTTCAGCTACAGGCAACACGGCAGCAGGAACATGATATATTTGTACAATGATGAACAGCAGACAGTCAGGCACAGAAGATAACTAGCTACAAGTACAAAATGCCATTTTGGCGTGCAGCCAACTCATGCTAATATGGCAAGGGCTAAAGCTGAACTAAATTGTGGGCTCTGTGCTACCCAAAGCAACAGACGAGGATGCTGCAGCCATGGTCCCATCCAATGTCTTCGTAGTCATTGCCAGCAACTCAAGCTCAATGAACCAGGTGTAAGCAAGTTGCATATTGCAAGCAAGCCAAATATGTTCACGGTCTGCCACTTCACCGAGTGTGGCCAGAGAAATAGTGAACGTATGAAAGCCACATTAAATCGCAGACAGGACAACATGCAAATTGACTAGGAGGATGTTGAATGAAGGGCCACCAAAGACACTGAACAACTCACTGGATTGGTGAAGAACTGCTAGGAGTTCAACCCCCAAGTCCTCAAGCAGGGAGCACCCTTTCTTGTTCATGTCACAGGGAAGGCACGATTTACCTGGTGACATCACAATGCAGGAGTTCTCATCCTCGCACAATGAACAATAAGGTCAGTCAGTGATGGAATGACATGGTCAAGGCTAAATACTCACATGGGCAATGCCCCAAGCTTTGCTGAAGAGCGCATAATACTGATGAATGGATGTCCTGCCAACACTGTTAAGGAAGGCTTGGGCCCCTTTCATGTGCATGTGAGAAGCTGTTCTGGGCATTGCAATCTTCGAAGGATGTTTAAGACCTCGAGTCTCTTTGGCTATCTTTCCCCCCTCAATAGTCACATTGCACTCATGTTCACTCTCCACCTGATCATGTGACACCTCAATCAAATCAAAGTTCTCTTGCATGGGAGTGTCAGCAATATGAGCCTTTCCCTCAGGAATGCTTGAAGCAGCAGATGATAAAGAAGGGAGAGCAACAGGAAAAGGAGTAAAGAACAAGACAGTTAAAGAAGACAAGGCCACATCTCAGCCAACGAGAAGTGGACAAGTAAAGCCAAGGAACGACAGATCATGGCGGTCAACAACAGTGCAATTTGCGATAAAGGTCAGCAGCTGGGAAGCCACCTGAATCTGCACCTTTTCGTGGGTAAGGGTGCCAGCAAGAATCGCATTGATAACCTCCTCGAAGTGCAAGTGAGCCTGCAGTAGTGATAGCATGGCACCAATGGTAGAGTGAATATCAAGCGAGGTGAAAAAGAAATCGGCCAGAATGAAGTTGCCCCAGAGTGTGGACCAGGTGAGACTGGTGGTCACTTCCACCCAATCCAGCACCAAAAGCCAGATGTCATGAATTGCAGGCATATGAAGGCTTTCCAACATCACCTACACATTACTCTGATCAGTAAGGCAGAATGGTAGCAAATAGCACAGTGTTATGAAGTGTTCCCTGCTAGAACGTTCAGAACCACGTGTGCTTTCTCACACGTACTAGTCCACAACATGGACAGAGACTTAGATACCAAATATACCTAATGTCTCCAATAGTCAGGCAGACTACTAGCAGGGTTTATAGTGTGGTCAAGCCTAGTAGACGATGTAGCAGTGAGGTCCTTACTCTACCCTTGCTAGGCCTTGGCTGCTACAGCTACTGCACATTCACCTGCAGGTTACTAGGTTCACTGTTCTGACTCTAGCAAGCATACGAGCTTACTACCTCTTGAGAGCGAGTACGATTGCACAAGGGTTCTAGAACTGAGAACATTCAGAGTCACAGGTGGAAGAGGTTATCTTCCAGCTGCTGCTCCGCCCCTTTATATAGTCGCAGACCTATAGTCTGGGGTACTAGTACAAGGGGTCTCCTACAGCTATTCATAGAGTAAATTAAATAGATCAAGACAAATACTAACCACTGCGAGCCAAGTAATTGGCGAGCTAATGTTAGTACAGGTAAAATAGAAACTTGAAACACGAAGGTCTTGTTTGCATGGCCTGAGTGAGTAAATCGTAAAAGCTAACCCGAGAATATGTCCACAAGACCTATGAACCATAAATAGTAAGTGTCACGTGCAACGTAAACTGTCACATGACCATGAAGCGCTGAAACCATAACACAAGCTCCCCCTTCCAACCGGCAAGACCCTTGACAGCCACTCACCAAACTAACCCATCATCGTCCTCCGCGAACACCTACATGGTCATAGACTGGGATGGTGGTGTCGGGTATGACCTCCCAGCCATTGTCGAGATCCTGTTGGGGTTGGGGATGGAACTCGGTAGGTGCCCAGTGCGAGATGGATCCATCTTTGTAGAGGACTGCCTTCAAAGCTTCGACACTGTCAGTAAGCCATCCAGGCCACTCGATCATGGCAACGAGGGATTGAAAGATGACCGGCGCGAACTCATGAGGTGTCTTAGCGTCTCCATAGTGGACTTGCTTGGAGAACGTCCTGAACAGTTCGACCTCGTATTGCTCGACGCCTTCATCCTTGCCTGTGAAGTGAACACTGATGACATGCATTCAGTTGGGTGTTGGGTGCCAGTCATGCATGCCTGGAATGGGTGGTGGATAAAGAAGAGTGACCCATTGACTGAAGACACGATGAGGCGAGTCCTCCGAGTAGAGGTGCCAGGCAACCTTCTGATTGTCCCAAGTGAAGACAAAGCGTGGAAGGTGGTGAAGTCACCCGTGCCCGTACGATGGACATAGAGATGATGGCCATCGCGTTCCATGAGGAATGTTAGTGACGTGGCGATGAAGACATCGTAGGGTGATGCTACGTCTGGGGCGATGAGCGATACCTGTCCTGCCGCCGGGTTGCTCGAAGACTTGACTGTTTGAGCATACCTGATCTGCTCCTTGATGGTGTTGGCTGGTGCTGGTTGCGATCCATCCTCGGGTGCATTTGCATAGTTATATGTGGCGCCGTCGTGGTGGGGGTATGTCACAGATTTTTGCCACAAAGTCTGCACGTGACTTTTCTCACACCACAGATCACGTGCTTCACCAATATCTCATGCCACTCAGCCACAGACGTGACATGTAGAGATCAGGTGATAGTTCACATCACATGTTATGGTCCAGACCCGTAGATGATACGGTCGGACCTGTCTATTCCAGGATACAATAGAGGCACCCATTTGGGAACAAAGGGAACAAGGACTATTGTTAGGCATCGGCCTTCCGCTTCCTATTAGTTTAGCCAGAAGCCTAGATAGGCACAATGTTCACACCAGAGAACAAAAGAGAAACCAAGATAGGCACAATGTGCACACGCATTACTGCGGCAACCATCGATCTTCTCACTTATTGTTCTACTTTCAGACATCCTATTGTCCCATGTACGGCCATTAGCTTATACCCGTAGATAGGTAGCTTAGGTAAGATAGCCCACTATACATGTATATAAGACCAGCCATGTAGAGGACGAAACTTCAGATTGTTTCTCCTCGTCTACCGGTTGTCTAATTCCATGCCAGCCCCTAATTAAGTTGATCTCCCCTCTCATGCCTTCACCTTTGATATACTGCTTGATCTTTTTTACTTTGAGCATCGGAGGTACATAATTGAAGAACATATGAAGGTCATTGATCAACATTTTCTATAATTGATATCAGTAACATTTCAAAAAATTATATATTATATAACTCACCTGTCCATGGGCCTTGATAAATCTAGGTAAATGATATACCAGCTTTTATCCATCAGATGAATAGGCAGATCTGGGAGTATTGTCATCCCAGATCTCAAAGTTAGCAGAAATTCGCTTAGAGCCCTTCACAGCATCTGCAAAATTGAAGTCAAAGATCTCTGAATTTGGGTTAGCTATATTGTATATTGTTATTATAAAACACATACTTTTATTTGCTTCTGCTCTTTTAGTTATCGTTTTTGCTTCATTTTGCAAGTTGACCTTCATGCACTGTTCTGTCTTCTCCTCATTCCTCGGTAAGATGCAATGTTATCAACATCAATTATACATAAGCTCTAAATGCTTACATTTTCTGGTATCTTTGCCTTTTTTGTTATGCTTATCATGGGGCTTAGTGCTAGCACCTTCATTATGGGACTTGGTCATAGCATCTTCAACATCTTCATTGTCAGACTTAGAGGGAGCATGCTCAACATCTTCATTGTCAGACATATCTGACAACTCTTTATCTCCAAATACCTTTTTTCGGAGCTCTTCAAGCTTGTGTCACAAAGCACAAAGCACTTAACCCAATTAAGGGCAAGTCTGCTTATGTGACCTGCACAAATGATCCACATAAAAAGGTTGCCCTAAGGCTAACCTAAAAAAGCCTGCCACAAAGGCTAGGCTGAGGATGCGTGCAGTGGCATACAATCAACAATCAAGGCAGAGCCCCAATGTATGGCTTTGCACAAGTGGTGGAAAGGGGGAGCTGGCCTGCTGGCCACATACAATAGTATAATGAATCTAAGGTCCTCCCTTAGATTTTCATGGGCTTATATACATGTAGGGCTGGATCCTGGTCACTCTAACTAAGGTGTACCTACCGGTGTCCTAGCAAGCTACATGTGAGAAAACTATGCCTAAACCAGTAAGGGCTCTGGCAGCAACTATGACAACTATCTACAAAGGCCGTGGATATGCTTGTCACAGTATTAAGTGGCACCTTTCTTTTTGCACCATTAAAGTCCTCATTTGAGTGGTTATTCGGACGTCAACCTTCATATTGGTCTCACAACGTGGATACTTGGACAAACAGCACAATGCCACCACATCCATCACGGACATGACTATGTCTACCACATGACCACCAAGCGCCCATGATTCAGCCACCCAGTCACGTGACACTGGCCACTTGCCCTATTCGGAAGTTGTCAGGCGTTGGTCACGTGACACCAGGCCACTTGCCCAGAAAGGAACCCATTGGACCATCAAGCTAGCAAGCACCCAATTCGCCACTCAAGATAGTGGCACCACTTTGCTGCCTAAACCAATAGGCAGATACCACAACAGAGGATCCCCCTACCAA